CTCTCTCATTCGGAAGTCGGTTGATATCGGCTTATTCAGTGGAGTGACAGTAGGTTCTAATGGAGTGGTCGTGTCTCATCTACAGTTTGCAGACGACCTCATCCTTTTTTCAGAGGCTTTAAGCGTTCAAGTAACCAATATTAAGAGGGTTGTAAGATTATTTGAGATTGCTTCGGGACTAAAACTAAACATGAGCAAAATCAAAATGTTTAGGATCAATGTGGAGGATAGTGATTTAGCTATGTGGGGTGATGGGATTAAATGTGGCATCGACTCTTTTCCAACGAAATACTTAGGGCTTCCGTTGGGCTATCGATGCAACTCGTCGAGTCTTTGGCAACCCATTTTAGACAAATTAAGGGCAAGACTTGACGGTTGGAAAGGCAAGCTACTATCCTTTAGAGGTCGTTTGACGTTGGTAAAATCGGTGTTAAATAACTTACCAGTGTACTATATCTCATTGTTCCAAATTTCAGCTGGTGTGGTGTCAAAAATTAGTGAGATGGTCGCTAATTTTATTTGGGGAGCTTCAAGTAGAAGGTTAATCCACTAGTTAAAATGGGAACGTATTGCTAAGCCAGGAAATCTAGGCGGACTCAGTTTTTACTAATGTAAGTCCCGTAATAGGTCATTACTCAACAAGTAGATATGGAGATACAGTTGTGAGCCCCACTGCCTTTGGCGAAAAGTGGAGATCAATACTTGGCCGTATCTCGGTAAGATCTGAACTAGCGAAGCGTGGATTTGGTCTACAAGGGTTGAGTTGATGTGTTTTGAGTAATAACTCTTTAGAAACTGTTAATCATCTCATGTGCCGCTGTCGGTTCACTTGGGAGATTTGGTAAGCTTGGTGCAGATTATGGAATGTAATTTTGGCGATCCTGAGCACTCTAAGAAACTTGTTCACTAAGCGGGAGAATTTCCGATCAGAGCGGCACTCAAACCTTTGTGGCAGCTAGTTTTTTTCGGAATAATCTGAATTGTTTGGCTAGCTCGTAACGTGGTCGATTTAGCCTTGGTTAGGATTGGTGTAGGGGCGAAGTGCAAATGGCCAAAATCGTTTTTGTCAATCAGTGAATTTATACGATGCCCCTCAGAAGTTTGCTTTTCATTGTGCATTCCTTCCAGATTATCCTCTAGCACATGAGAAGCTCCTCCCTTGGGGCACACGAAGTTTAATGTTGATGCGGTGACATTGGGTAGTTTCGGTGAAGCATGTGTAGACGGAGTTTTGCAAAACCATAAGGGTGAAGCATGAAGTTTAGTGTTGATGATGTGCCCCTATCATATCTCTATAAAGTTTTAAGATCGATTGAAGGTCGCTGATTGGTTTCCTATGTGGTAGTGACGGTGCTTCGCTAGTGTTGGACTTTTGTGTTTGTTCCTTCACTGCTGGTACAAGCTGGTTGGAATATTGGTAAAGTTGGCAAGAATTATTGCAGACTAATCTATTTTTATGCTTGCAATAAGGACTGTAAATGTTGGTGTTGAGTGTCGGATTGCCTCGTGCTCTTCCTATTTCTTGGCGTGGGTTGGAGAAGCTTTTAACATCTGCAATAATCACATGGAATACGTTTGAGCTTGCTGCGTAGGTGCACAGGTTGAGTGGTTATGTGTTTTGGTGCTTTGTAACAGACTCAAATCTTATGGCATCGATTAGGTACATTATTTACGGAGGTTTTTTAACGAGGCCATATCGATGTTTCTGTTTTGTATGAATTTAGCTATCACTTAGAACGTAGAATGTCTTTTAAAATTTTAAAATTACTTTATTTTAATAGTATGGGATGAATTATAAGGTAATATCTATTCAGAATATTTTTTTAGCCTATTAACAATGTACATACATCTTGGAAATACAACTCCTTAATTTATTTTTAAAATAACAATATTTTTTTTACTACCGAGGACTAAAACATACCTAGTTTGAAACTTGTTACATTCTAAAGAAAACCAAAATACTCTATTCTACGATAACATATAAGGTCATAAATATTTTTCACACAATATCTTAAATTTACCCATTTTGATGTAAAAAATTAACAAAAAATCTAAATATATTATATAAAAATAATTATAAAACTAAAATATCAATAAATTTTTATTTAATACATAATTTTACTTTTTTGAATTTTAAAACTTTTAAAGCCTATTTTCATAAAAGTTTTGTCAGCAAGTAAATTATTACAAACTAATAACACTCAAAGACATAATTTTATATAATGCAAAATAATAAAACTCAAAGGAACTAAACCAATTAAATGACCTCAATGATTAAAGATAGTATTATTTTTTTAGGTTTTGGATTCGAACATCTATGTGTATAAGGTGAGTGAGCGTTATCAATGACTAAGAAAGATTATAAACATATAAGTGTGTGTTTGGTTGGGGGAATGCGAGAATAGAATCCACATTCTCCGTTTGGTTGGCCGGGAATGTCATTCCCGGTAATCTTATATTACCAATAGTAGATTTTTGGGGTATATTATCGGGAATGTCATTACCTCCCTTTCCTTAGGTATTGTTGGATTACCGGTGTTTTGGATTAAAATGCACTTAAAAAAATTTCTTTTCAAAAATATCCTTATTCTTTCATTGAATAATAAAAATTCTATGAAGGATAAATTACAAATTTATCTTTAAACTATTTTAAATTTACAAAAAAAATCTATAATTAAAATTTTATATGAAGTTCAGGGGTTAAAATAAAATTTTACCATTTCATTAAACCTTTTTATATTTTCAATTTTGTAAAAAAATTATATAAATTTTATGAATTTAAATTTTTTTAAGATAATATATAAATATTTTCCAACTTGTTAAAAAAATAAATATATAATAAGGACAATTTGGTCAAATATATATTCCAATAATCTTTTATTCCTTTAACCAAACACAGTAATCTTACATTCTTGCTAAACTAACCAAACACAAAATACAACATTCCTAGTAATCCTATTCCCTGGTAATCTTTTATTCCCATTGGTAATCTTACATTCCGTGAACCAAACGCACCCTAAGGAATCATGAGATAATATAGAAAATAAATATACCGAAGGATATTGAACTATATTCAAATGATCATTTGAATCAATAAATTTTTAGAAAATTGTAAAATAATCATTGAATATATCAAATTATTACAAAATATCATTGTGATATTGTAATAATTACAAAATTTTGATAAATTTAGTGACAATTTTATAATAATTTGATAAGATTTAATGACCATTTTGTAATCATTCAACAAAATTTAATATTCGTCTTATAACTAATTGATAAATTTAATATTCATCTTATAATTTTTTAAAAATTTAGTGACAAAAATAACTATTTGGTTATCGTTCAATGACGTATGATATTATTACAGAAAATAATAACGTGAGAGGACTTAATTTAATGAGATAAAAATGGTTTAAAGGATGATGTGTCCATTGATAATTTAGTATATTGTTATGAGTTAATTGTATCATATGTTACTAAATTATAACCTTCATTTTAAATTAGTCTTTAAATTTTTGAATATTTTAATTTCATTCCCTATTAGGGTTCTCGTTCTAAATTAGTATTTAACCTTTTAAATATTTTAATTTTATCCCTACACTGTGACCCTTTTTCTAAATTAGGTCTCCAAACTTTTGAATATTTCAATTTTATCCATTAATTCATCCGAATATGTAATTAGTTTCAACCATATTTTAACCTAAATTTTGGTTTTCCAAACATATAATAATATAACTTGGCCTAACGATATTATTAACAAGGGATGTAGTTACTATATACGCATAATTTGGGATGAAATTGAAATGTTCAAAATGTTTATGGAGGCACTTTAGAACGAAGGTCGTAGTTTGGGTTGAAATTAGAACACTTAAAAATTTAAAGACTAATTTAAAATGAGAGTTATACATTAAGGACACGTGATACAATTAACTCTTTTGTTATTATTAGATTGATACCAATAGTTTGGGTTGATATTTTATGTTAAGAGATAAATTTATAAAATTTTAGAGTATGATAAATTTATAAGCTTTTAGTATCGGAAACAAATTATCAATATAAAATATAAAGAAATCTAAAGTTCGTTTAGAACAAATAGGGCGGAAAAATCATTATTCTTTCAAAAGAAAGGTCGTATTCTAGAACAAATTATGAGATTCCAATGGTCGTTCAGTAATGCAACGAGACAACCAAATGACTGTTAAATAAAAAAAATATGTCAAAAGACAAATAAAAACGCATAATAAAAATAGAATAATTAAGAATTAAAAAAAACAAAAGAACCAACAACCAGTTGATCTAGTGGAATGAGACACTAGATCCCTTAAGTAAGGTAGGGGTTCGAATCTTGGCATTTGCGAATGGAGCAAACTGGGATGGAAGGGTAACCCTCGCCTCTACAGTACCTAATTTGAATTAGTCGGTCAATAAATCGAATATCATTGATTAATTTAAAATATATATAAAACAAAAACAAAAATACGTTCAGTCTTGTCGATCGACAACTAACATCAAGACTTGTGTGGTTGCCAATTAATATAAATGCATAATTCCATTACTAGTTTATACAATTACCTAAATCTTTACATTATACTCTTATTTAAAAAAATTTGATTTTTAAAATAAGTTCGATTAAAGAATTTGTCAAATGTTTTAATGATTGAAGGGAATATCTTTTCTCGTAAAAGTTCAAATAATTATACTTAGGAGTGTATAAACGTTGTCAATGATTAAAAATTTATAAACAAATATTACTCGATACTTAGTCACCTTAAACTATCGGAAAAAATCCACTAAAAAGGTTATTTTATCTTCTTTTTTTATAGTTGTTAAGCAGAAGTTAATAGGGCTGACTTTTAAATAAAAGATAACAGAGGGACTCAATGTAGTACAATTAAAATATAGAGACCACATTTTATGTTATGAAATAGTATAGGGGCTATTGACATATTTAAGCCTTTAGTTTTAAACCCTCGTCCTCGTTGTTTGCGTTATCAAACTTCGCTTTTGTAACACGCAGTCTCAGTCTCACACCCCTCTCGACTCCGTACTCTTCCCCTTTCTCCTTATCTCCGCCACCGCCACCACCACCGGCTCACCATCTCCACCACAAACGCCACCGAAGACGAGGAAAATCTTGCAATTAGTATTCTTGACACGGCTAAGCAATCCAGGCAATGGTACGTTGGGCAATATGTCTGTATTTTTACCCCACGCTTGTGGCTGCATTTTTAAGTAATAAAGCTAATCCCATGCAGCTTTTTTCTTTATTTTCTTCTTTCAGTGGTAGTTTTCTTGGCAAACAACGAAAGGCGGTGAAAGGAAATCATGGATGATAAGCTAATAAAATCTGTACATTCCACAGTTTTCATAGAATCGGATTCACTTGAAGGGACCTATACTAGAATTGAGGGTTATGATTTCAACCAGGGTGTAAACTACTCTACACTTCTCAAATCCATGCTTTCCACTGGATTTCAGGCTTCCAATCTCGGAGAAGCTATTGATATTGTCAACGATATGGTTGGTTTCATTTATTTATTGGGTTGCATAGATATTATTTCAATCATTTATGATTATTTCTGAAAAGTATAGATATATTGGGTGAATATTTAGTGTAATTGAAATTCATGGTTTTATATCTTTTAAATAAATATATACTCAAATTGAAACTCAGCTGGTTTTTATGTAATGTATACATTTCATTCCTCACAATTGATGTGTTAAAAATTTGAATATTCGATTTTATGTTCCCACATGAGCATCACTGTTTTGGAAGTTATGTTGTTGGCTTAATTCGTAATAGTATTCTTAATCAATGAAGTTGGATTGGAGGCTTTCCGATGAGACTATAACTGAGGACAGCAGTGAAGAGGAGAAGGATCCTACCTACAGAGAATCTGTGAGATCCAAGGTGTTTTTGGGTTTTACATCAAATCTTATTTCGTCTGGTGTTCGAGATACTGTTCGATATCTTACTGAGCATCGCATGGTGAGTTCCGAATCACATAGTATTTTGGGATAAAGATTTTATTCTTTGGGTTCATTCCAAAATCTGTCACAGTCTTCTTGATGCTATGTGCTCCTCGATTTAAGTAGTGTTGCTTTTGAAATGATTTTAGGTGGATGTAATTGTAACTACAACTGGTGGCATAGAAGAAGATCTTATAAAGTGCCTTGCTCCAACATATAAGGGTGATTTTTCGCTACCTGGTGCTCAGTTACGTTCAAGAGGATTGAATCGCATTGGAAACTTGTTGGTTCCTAATGACAATTACTGCAAATTTGAGGATTGGATCATTCCAATTTTTGATCAGATGTTGAAGGAACAACTTGAAGAGGTACGTTCATGTTGCTCCATCTTTTTCTCTTATGTTTGTACGGTATCCATGTCCTACACATTCCAATTTTAATGTTGCTACAAATTATTGTGTATGGTAGAATAGTTCGGCTCTCTCTTGTACTCTGTTCCTGAGGTTTCAGTTACCATCAGCAGATGTTTCTCTTGTGTTTAGTGGCATCTTCCGTTTCTGTTGATTTCCTTCTACTTCTCGTTTTTGGTTTCAACAGAACGTATTGTGGACACCATCAAAGTTAATTGCACGCTTGGGACAAGAAATAAATAATGGAAGTTCATACCTCTATTGGGCGTACAAGGCAAGTGTTATACAAATTTAGCCCAACACTATGAGAATGTAACTACTTGTTCCCTCCTTGCTTTTGTGTAGGTATATCTGTATAATCACCATTCATTAACTATGCCCCCATTGAAGTTATATATGTTACTAATAAAGTTAGTGATATTTTTTTAATCAATTACAAAATATTGGATCTTTTTGCTGCGAACATACTGCGATACTGCTTGAACTACCTACATTCTTTCCTTTCTACTACAATGTAGTGAGATTCTAGTCATGCCAACTACTATCATGATATCATCTTGACAAAGTGATTGATTTTATTTATTACTGAAGAAGGTATTAAAGAATTCTTAAGCAAGTGGAACATGTATCTCATATCATGTTTAAGAAGTTTAAGTATCTTTTCTTTTATTAAGATGGTTAGGTATCTGTGTTTTGTAATTTTACTCTATGCAATTGTAATCTTTTAAGGATTTGTCTGCATAATGTTAGTAGCATCCAATTTTCCCCATTTAATTCCGCGGCTCATTTTTGTTATTTATTTGTATTTTCCAGAACAATATTCCTGTTTTCTGTCCTGGCTTAACAGATGGCTCTTTAGGGGATATGTTGTATTTTCATTCTTTCCGCAGCCCGGGTTTAATAGTTGATGTAGTGCAAGGTTGGTCTTTCATGTTTCATCTTCATTGCTTGTTCACTGCTCTACTTCTTGGGGATGGGGATATGATTACCGAACTAGGTTACTTTTTTGAGCAGATATTAGAGCCATGAATGGTGAAGCAGTCCATGCAAGTCCTAGGAAAACAGGAATGATAATTCTAGGAGGCGGATTGCCGAAGCATCATATCTGTAATGCTAATATGATGCGTAATGGTGCCGATTATGCTGTTTACATAAATACGGCTCAAGAGTACGACGGTAGCGACTCTGGAGCCCGCCCTGATGAGGCTGTTTCATGGGGGAAGATACGAGACTCTGCTAAAACAGTTAAGGTGTGCCTCTATCATTAAACATTCTCCATAAATTCTAATTTTAACTTAATAAGTTGTCATCCCTTTCTTGCTTTCGATTTTCGTATTCTTTAGTTCCTGACCCGTTTCATGATTGTATCGAATCAGGTACATTGTGATGCAACTATTGCTTTCCCTCTATTGGTAGCAGAAACATTTGCTTCAAAGTCGAAAAACTTTGCAGCCTAGTGCTGCGGATTCATCTACTTGTATTAGTTCTACCGGCATCCTGGGGAGGTAAATTATACTTTGCTCTGCTATGGTAAACCAAATCATGCAGAGAATTGTTTAATTCTGTATTCCTTAAATAGGGTTTATCATATCGTAGACGAGGTTCGATGAAATGCGAGTGCTGGAAAAATCTCGTATCGATCTTTACTAGTTATTTACCATTCTTCATTATTAAGTTCTTCTAGGTCTTGAAGTCTCACGTTTGAGCATGATGTCTGTAGGGGTATATGTGTATTCATCGTTAAAAGGCTTAGAACTGGGCTTGCTATCGTTGACTTCTGTGTAACATTCTCTTCACTTTTAAATTTAGTCGGGTCTTACGTTTCTGTCTATATGCAGAGATTTTTTCGCTGGGATTTATTTGCAGGGATTACTGCCCATTACAAACACGCATATGATATTAATGACTGCATATGAATATTGTTCAACTATGTATTTACGTATTTATTTATACATGCATTGTATTTTATCTATATTTTTAATTTTTTGACTGCCGGAGGTCTTCCACGGAAGCTACTCTTAACCTGGCGTTGGAGGCAGCCTACTACCCTACCTCCCCCTTACCCCATTGCATATGGGAATTGTGTTTTGTTGTTGTTGTATCGTTAAAAGGTTATCTTTTGAACTTATATTTACTTTATAATCATTTCAGACTATTGAAAAAAGTTCTAATTATACTCGAACTCGATTGAACTTCATCTTGGATTATTACATTAAGTATTCATAAAGACTATTACGTCCTTAACAGCTCCATCATCCTAGTCATGCAAGAGAAAATTTGCATTTGTTATCAAAATACATGTTTGTCTTTTTATGCAAGTGTTTTTTATTTTGGCTTCTTACTAGGAAAAAAAATACCCTTTTAAAAATAACATTTAGCAAATAAATTCACATTATATTAATGATAAGACAAACATGTTTAAGAAAAAGTATTTAACTAAAAAAGAAAATAATAATGTTTGCAATACGATTTAAATTCAAAATCAAGTGATTATAAACAAGGAGGGGTATTCGCGGTCAGTTAATTGTACCGTTTAGTTTAAATAATATGGTTAACTATTATAACAATGATTGAATTTTACTACTCATAAGCTAACCATTAAGAAACGGTTAACTGATAAAGGTTAACCGTTACTAACGGTTCGGTTACCCATGTTAATATGTAACCTATTACAATTTTTTTCTCACATTTTTACTCCCTTAATTTAAAAAAAAAATACATATTGACACTACATAGTACTTAATAAATATAAATACTACATTTGCATATTTTTATATTAGTTTAAAGTTTCAACACACACAAAATATGTAATTAATCATTCTATAAATTTAAGCACATATCAATTAACAATAGTCCAAAACAATATCAAACTTTCAAAGATAAATCTTTACTGAACATAAAATAAACATAATAACTCAAAGTCTCTAATGACTCCAACATAAGGTAAATGAAACTTCTATGATGTAGTACCGCAAGCTACAAAAAATTAATTCTAATATCAAATCACCAACACCCAAGGTCTTCATTGGCTTCCTTCGAAATAGAATTTATCTCATCAATCTTAAAGCTGGATTTTGTCTTTTTAATATGTTTTATTGTTTTTCTTGTTAACTAAAATATAAAATATATATTTTTAAAGTTAAATAAATAATTAAAAATAAAACTTCAATAATAATAATGTAGTTTGAAATCTTGAACTTACCTTTTTGTAGCATTCATAACTCGATTTGCACCTTTCAATTTGCAAGTTGAATTTGTCGGTATAAATAAATAGGATGATAGGTTGTTATATATATATATATATAAACCAAGAAAAAAAAATTAAAATAACGAGTATCTTAGATTAATTGAAATAGAGTTGCTTTAAAGAAAATATATTTAATTATAAAATCAACCTTCAACTTTTACTTGGATTTGTAGATCTTTAAAAATTATATTTATAATTTAATAACAGTTAATCATCGGTTAACCATTTTATCAAAATCTGTAACCATAATCGTAACCATTAATCTTTATTTTTAACGGTTTGTTTAACCGAAATCATTTAATCTTAACAGTTTAATTAATTAACCTGTCAAATTTGATTGTTACACCGATTAACATTTACAGTTAACAGTTGCATATTAATTTTCACACCCCTATAAACACGTATCGACAATCCAAATAATGTGTCATTATTTAATATTTTTCGAATTAAAATATTTAACATGTTGATTTGGTGTTTTCCCTTCTTTTTGGATAAAAATTATATTTTTATCTATACTTTTAATAAATTTCTGAATTGATATCTTAAGTACATGTCAATTAATAATATCAAAATAAACATTTAGAAATGTCATATTGTTACTGATGAGACAATCATTGACGGATGATATCAATTGCACTCCTTACTCCGATTATACTCGATTACATACGCATAAAATCATCACACGCTAAGTATTCACTTAGTGACGCATAATAAAACAATGAAGGCATTTTAAAACATGAGTAAACCATTATAAGATCAAAAATACGATTTATTATATAAAATACATAAAAACTGACTTGATAAGCCAAGTTTCTGTCAAATAACTTGCGAAACAATATTTAGTATGCCCAACATACCTATCAATCAACATATTCAAAAGTATTCATTCATAGCCCAATGTATGTCAAATGAGAATGCAAAGATACATGAGTTGCACATAAGTGCTAAACGAAAGTATAGGTATTGTAGTAACAGCGACACTATACTAATATATCGAAATGGTAATTCACAAACTCATTATGAATACCATGCATGCACACATAGTGTCGAAAGTACACAAAGGTATTATACAAAAATGCAACATATGCATTAAACAAAATTGATCGATAACCATCATACTCCAAGTATGTCAAAATGCACATATGACTCTCAATGCACATACAATAGGCCTTTAAATCAAATTCGCATATTAAACATTTATTTTGAAACATGGATAATAGTTAAAATAATATAAAAGTTCATCCATATATTTTAGGGCAGTTCGTACCCTAAAATTATTCGTAAAATCATTTTCATAAACTTTATAAAAATATTTCAAAATACGATAAAACATGCTTTTATAAAAACATTTGAGGTTGACTCATCGCAAGTCGTCTTATATCTTATAAGTACATAATAAATGCACTCACCTGATATGCCTCACTATTATGCCTTACTATCGAAATCCGATTATTATTGAACTTTTTCCTTGCCTTTTGCTTTGCTCGCATCACGAGTTCGATTATGATCTACACAAGTATCCATACAAAGTATATAAAATTATAAAATACAATGTTAGTATCCTTACTAACATTTTTACAAAATAATAATACTAAAAAGTACTATTATTTTTGAATTTCTTTTAAAATTCATCTTAATTTTTCCTTTTTATTCAAAATGGGCCCTTGTCATAAATTCTTCAATTCAAGCACAAATAAACCCAATATATTTCCATCATTAAATTTCCAGCTCAATACCTCCACAATGCCATAATTACCACTTAAGCCATTAACTTTCTCAATATTCACCATTTGTACTTAAACTTTGCCAACTTTCCAAAATGGCTTAATTTCATATTCTAAATTAAATTTCAACCCTCAAATAGTAATTTACAGTAATTTAAATCAATTATTGAGTAATTACACAATCAGCCCATAACTTTCAAAATTGCCGAATAGGTCCCTCAACTTTTGAAAAATATCATTTCTAATCCATGGGAATTTTTCCAAAATTTTTCCCAACTTATTTCCTCATGGTCGAATGCTTTAGGGGTATATTTCTCATGATTTTCACTTGATTAAAGTATGAAACCAACCTCTATCCAACATTTCAATACCTCTAGAATCAAACCCCTAACTTAATTTCATCAAAATACATCTTCCCCTAAATCTAGGGTTTGATCAGATTCAACATAGGCATATATATCCATGTACAAGTAATTTTAATCAACAATCATGCTTATATAAGATTCTACAACCTCAAAAACATCAAAATCCTTTATCAATTTCATAAACCCTAATATGAACACAAATCCTATAATTTGGTATCTTTGAACACAAGCAAGATTAGCATGCAATAGTGGTACCAACTGATAGCGGTTTTTGCGTAGAACAACTTTCTTTTTCACGACACAATCCAAAAACCAAAGGAAATTGCTCGAAAATGAAAAATAAAATTTTCTTACCTTGGGTTGGGGACTCACGAAAATGGTGGCTGAAAATACCAATCTTCGTGAAATTTTCCTTTAATTTCATGTGAAATTAATCTTTAATTAAGCTTAAATGAATAAAATATTTATTTAATGAAAAATATACATTTTGCCATTAATGAAACTTGATAATTACCATCCAACCAAGCCACATCAACCTTATCATATTTCAAAAGTCAAAGATGAACAAATTATTTTACTCTTTTCCAATTTTACCAAGCAACTTTCCAAAAATTACAATCTTGCCACTTTAATCCAACAGTCCAAATTAAACATGGAAATAAATCTTCAAATCCAATGATCCATATTATTTTCGTCATTTTAACACGTGGAAATAATATTTTTAAGCATAATTTATCATCCTTCAATTTTTCCCGAAATTTCTATTCGATCAAATTTACCGATTTCTTATCGGACTTTATCGTTTTATAGCTTTTAATGCAAAATCCATACGAAAAATATGATTCCCACGAAAACGTCATTCTTGGGGGTAAACTATTCATTTACGGGGCCATATTACATAACATTTTAAAATTACACTTTAGTCCTTGAACTTTTCCATAGTTTATACTTTGGTCACTAAACTTTCAAAACTTATATTTTGGTCACTAACCAATTTTTGGGGTATTACAAGCTCCTATCATTCAAACATCAATTCAGACACATACTTATACTCAAGGTGTAGTTCATAGTCCAGTTGGGGGTCGTAGTTAGCAGAGAGCATCTAGGTCTGCTAGTAGAGGTTGACCTACTCAAAGTAAGGGTATACAACTCAGACTAAGGACAGACAGCATGGTTTGGTTTACACTGCTAGACATTGATAGGACTGTGATGAGTCTGATATGATTTTAGGTA